CTCTCTCTCTTCTCTCGCTACTGTTTACATAAAATTCATCTTGATCGGAATTCCCTCGTCCTGAAACCGCGGTTTTATAAATTTGTTTCTCCTTCTTATTCCCTACGCGTGATTCTCCCCATTGTACGCGCTACTGTGTCCCGCTTCTGGTCCCTCGACGGGAGAAGCGACTGGGGCGGACTAATTTTACGAGAAGTCAGTCGATCCCTTCGGCTCTTTATTAGATTTCCTAAGGCGTCGTAGAATTGTATGAAAGCGGGAAACTGGGAAACCGCTCCCAAGTAAGAGACTCCACATTGCGAAACCGTCACCCTCGCGACAGGAGCGCAAACACGGCAATGTTCATCCTCAGCTCTCGTTTACTAAAGTTGCGTATTTTAAAATTCTCTTTTAATGTGAAAATGAAAATGTTGTCACGATTGCGGTGGCAGGATTATGTAACGAAAATTGATTCGACTTTTATTCAATATCCTCCTAAAAGTAGAAACGAATTTGCCCGGATGTAGATATCTCTTTACGCGCCCGCGGCTCTTGAAACTTGAAATTATTTCCATATTTTTAAACGAATTTCACCCATCAATCGCCCAAAATAAATAAATCGGAATCCCTAATAACAAATAAGGGAACAGACGAGGATGTGCGCGTGAATAGAATCTCATTATCTCCGGCATCACACAGTATCGAACACGTAGGCAGAAAAAAGGGAAAGTTGGCGGACGAGAAAAGTGGTAGAGGTCGACGAATTCACGCGACGTGACATGACGTGGTGATGAAAGCGGCAGTAGATCGAAGCGAGCGCGAGAGGGCGACGACAGAAATATTTGCGATTGGAATAGGAGTGAAAGAAGAAGCGTTGCACAAAGGAGCAAAGATGAAGAGAACAATGGTCCGGACGTAAAAAGGTGATCTCTTGCGAACGGCCGTGCGCGAGAGCCGGAAAGATGATACTCGTTTCACGCGCTACGTAGAGAGAGAGAGAGAGAGAGAGAGAGAGAGAGAGAGAGAGAGAGAGAGGGAGAGAGAGAGAGGGAGAGAGAGAGAGAACAAGTGGGAGGGTACAAGAGGAAAGGACAGACGAAGGGAAACGGTGGAAGTAGAAGGCGAACGGGGAGGGAGGAAAAGCGAGGGAGACGAGGGAGAATAGGGCAGAGGTTGCTGGGTAACAGCGAGGGTGGGATAAGAGTTCCCGGGATGCCTAGCAACAGGTTGCTATCCTAAAATTTCGACCACCGGCGTGGGAAGCCCTGCTCTCTGTAGCAACATATATGTAGATGTAGACGACTATGTACTTTCCCTAAATGTTTACGTGAAGCGCAATAGATATCAATACGTCCGCGTGTTCCGTTCGATTTCTCATTATCTGCCCCTGAAAGCGTATCCGAGACAAGACTCGCGGATAAAGAGAAGGATGAGGCAGAGGAAGCGGAGAGGTAAAATCTACGTTCGCGCGAGTCGAATCGCCAATGTTCCAGCTCGTTTCGTGTCAACAGCGTCCACAAATCGAGCCTGCAAAATAATAAAAAAAAGCAAAGGAATACACTCACATACCGAGGGGAAAGAGTCGTCGCGAAATCCGACTAGGACGAGCAACGCGGCGCTTCGGGAGAGAAATGTATCGTATTTGCCATTTGTAATTTTATTGCGCGTTCGCGTGAAATTATTTTCATAAGCATGGTCCGTTATGGATTACGTTTCTCGATTCTCGACACACGGATCGATGCGCGGTGGCCGTTATGCTTTCATTTCATTAAGCGTTTATATAGCGGGATAAACGAACGCGCGAGCGAAAGATGCGTGCGCGGATGAGGGTGATTCGGTATAACGATACGATATTAAATGGGCTCTGCGGAAAAATGTGCGGATTGATTACTTAGTGGAGCGAACGGGGCGATACATCGCAACGGAATATACATTCGTTCATGCGAAATTTCGCGTTGCCTTGCCACCGTGACGTGCGCATACGCGCGCGCGTTTCCGTGCGTGGGCGCGTCAATTGTGCCCGTAATGGATTGTAATTCTGTTTTGTTCATTCGATAGACGGACCGGATAATAATTCGTTCGCGCAAATAACTGCGAACCGGCGTGTTAACGCGCGAATTGTCGACGGCGAATATTCATCGTCACGATTCCATCCGCGAGAGGTCGAAACGGACGGAGAATCACGTTTCGATCTCGCCAGGCTACGCTTTATATGCGCGTCGTTGACTCACCGCGTATTTGAGAATCGGATTTGTTTTCAACGAATTGAGATGCGATTCTCTTTCGATAAAATATGTTGCAGGTAATCATACTGTTTGTGAGATTTTACAATCCTCATTTTGGAAATTGTGGAAGCTGTTAAATTCTCGTTTGGTTCGAAATTGATTTTATTTCAGCGCAGTCTCTCTCTCTCTCTCTCTCTCTCTCTCTCTCTCGGTTCGATGTTACGCTCTCTAAAACGTTCAAGTCCGGCGAATTTGGGATGCGTCTCGTTTGATAAGCAGGATTTCGCGATATTTTGCAAAACTGTAATTTTGAATTCCGGGCGTGTTCTCTAAATGGAAGCAATGCTCGAGGCATGCAACACATAAACTGTATAATCAAATATGCTTTCGATCCAGGGGATATGCATCTGCTTAATGTACGCCAATCTACATACGACTGCTTAGCGTAATGGCGCTTGGTGCGAAACTTTGAGGAGCTCCGCGAAACTCGTAATGAAGTCTCAAATTTGATATTGGCAGAAACAACGGCGGCTGTGTATCGCGGCGGATCCAACGTGTTTCATCGCGATCGAGGTGATTTCGCAACGACGATATTTATGCTATACCTCTTCGATCGCGGCCCGAGTTTGCTCTTATTATCGACGTAGAGTACATTTTTGCACTTGTTTTGACGAAATTCTGAATCTAATGAAATTGCATCCTTTAGCGTACATGTAATAAAATATTAATAATTCAATCACGTAGTATTTCCTTAATTTCCTTAATATGTCGAACGCAAACAAATTGTGCGTAAAGAGCATTCCTTCATATTTCCAAAATATCATATTTTGGAACGCGTCATTTTCAGACGAGTGGAAAAATCTTCGTGCCCACGTGCCCCGTATTTGTTGATTTTCGCGGTCTCTCGGGTCGTTTCAGGTCAAGCTGTTAATTGCCCTAAAAACGCCCGGGAATTTCGAAATCATGCTTTGATGACCGCGCGCACGCTGCGTGCTCGAGGATGCTCCTGTCGCTCGCGAACCCGCTGCCTGCATGTTTTCGATGCGGCGGAGGTGGTGAACCCAGCGGTACGTCGCGTTCGAATGATGATTAATCGGATTTCGCGGCGCATAGATAGCAGTGGCACTTTATTTTCCGTGGTTTCAGCGCGCACGACGGACGCTTTCAGGAAATGAAGAGAGGTATGAAGGGGGAAGAAAGGGGGCGCATGCCGGTCGAGCTCGCGCTCGCGCGCTGATGTTTGAAAGCCACACGAGGAAGCTAGAGCATACAGCGCGAGTAATTAATAGAATATTTCGCGGTGGTACATGTTGTCGAGGTTGCGGTGCGGTCTACGTTGCTCTTCAATGAACGAATCCCGTGCGACGTGTATACGCGGCTGATTTAAAAGAGGATCATGCTCGCTAAAAACGCAAATGTGAAAAACGTCTCATTGATCATAAGTCGAAAAAGTGACGTTTGCTCTGAGACGTGGACACGAGGGAATCTCGATGTTTACGGTACGATTACAAAGGCTTATGGCTCTGTGCAGATTCACGCTTGGCTCTCTTCGACGTAATATTACACTTTGACCCTTGTGTCTTTTTTGTTTCCATCATACAGCTAACCGTCTCTCGTGTTTCTACATAGATCTCTCCGTTTGATTCTGTCTCCGACATGATATTCCGATTTTTGTCATTTTTATTCTCATGATACGGCTAATCGGATCGCCTTTCTGCATTCTTCATTTTCTTTGACGCACTGCTCTAATGTCATTTTGGTAATTTTTAAATGAAGCAGCTAACTGGCTCGCGTTTCTACGTAGATTTACGTTTGATACTTTTCCATATGATACTTCTTTTTCACATCGTCCTGTAATAATCTTATAAATGAGTTGCAGTTTTTTTTTTTATTTATTCATTCATCGCGAACGTAGGCAGCGAAAACGACAGTTTCTATCGCCTCTTCCTTCTTTTCCTCTTCACACACGTCACGATAGGCTTTTCTTCAACAATCGACAAAGATTATTGCGCGGACATCTCCGACATAGTAAGAGAGAAAAAAAAACTATTAATGGCCGGCAGCGGCGGCGGCAGAGGCAGGGTGTCGGAAAATAGACGAGCGCGAGTGCTCGATCGCGTGACTGTTACTGATGTGCCGAGATTAGGCCAGTCAACGTAACCTAATTAACGGAGGAACGGCAAAGCGCCGGACTTCTTCCATGCCTCGTTAGCCCGTCCCTACGAAAACTTTTCTTTTTTTATCGACCAACAGCGGCGATTCAACCGGTTTTAATTAGTCCGCTGTTATATCGCAGGATACGATTTAGTAGTATGATATATCACGAGCTCTGCGCAACTTCAGTGTCGAACATGATCCTAATTTTTCTCTCACTTACGCTGCGATTACGCATAATAATATAAGACTGAATGATTTCACTGTCCGTTTAGTTGATGACAGACAGACAGACAGAAGTCCGTTGATCCTCCGTCAAATTTTTTTTCGAATAGGGATGATCAATACGTGACGGTGACTTGATGCTGTAAATATTGCGATGCAAAAGCGTTGAAGAATATCTATGACGGAGCGTTGATGGAGGCTTGTCTGCTGTCACTTGAGCAGAGAGTGAAAATCCAGTTTAATTGCTTTGCGACACGATACGAATAAAACGATAATTACGATTGAATTGTCAATTGTACATTCCTTTTCTTTGCGCTCGCTTCAAGAGCCAATCCATCACCTGTAACATTTGAGCTCGTTTATTCTTTGTTGCATTTTGCTCTGCACCTAAAAAGACGTCTCTTTTGATGCTTTCAGGATGTTGGGCAGCGTGGGAGGTCGACACGTGTCTACGCGTCGGCGTGGCAGCATTCCGCTGGTGCGTGCAGGTATGGGCCTCACCGGTGGTTATGGTGCCACTTCAGGGGTCGGTGGTTTCGACGGCGGCACGACGCAGTCGGATATGCCCAAGTATGCCACCAGGAGACGAAGAGCCGTCACCACCAGTGATCACAAGAGCTGCGCCCTCATACAGACGCGGGTTAAGCTTGGCGATATTATGTAAGTCACAACTATCTTTTTTCTTTTAGCCGCGAATATATCGTCCATTAATTTCAAACAGCTATGAGCCTCGTTAAATTCATAAAACAAAGAAATTTTAAATTTGAATTGTCAAGATAAAAGGGATTTTGTTAATGGCAAAGCTTCCCACTTGTGTGTGAGTACTTAAGTCGAGAGAGCGCAAAGAAATTAAAAAATGCTGCTTTAGAAGTGAAGATGAGAGAGATTGTGAAATATAAACTCGGGGAATGTGTTGAAATTAATGTGACGGTAACATATATCCGTTTATAGAAGTGTGAACTCCATTGGAAAGGAGAAAGAGAAGTTTGAAAAGCGAGCGTTCGCTCAAGACATCTCGCTGTTAATTTCTGACATTGTTATTTTACGTCGGTAAACCGCCAATCTGTTCTCCTCGTTAATTATTTTACCGACATCGTCTCTATTTCTTTTATCACCATGTCGACGTAATGTCGGCATGGATAACACTGAAACGTTATCAAACGGTACGAGTGGTACGGTGATTCGCACGTCAGTCGATAGGTTCCCGTTGAGCTGCGACCGTCGGTAAATTTCTCACCCCTGTATGTTCAACCCCTAAGCAAGCGTCGGTAAGGAAGACAAAGCTTGAGCTCTCGTTCGGTATCTCGTCACTCTAACAATTGAACGTCGAGTTATTATCGTTCGACTCATTACTAACGATTGTCAAATTCATTCGTGACTACGTCATGGTAAAAAGTAACGCGAAGTAAGAAACATCCGACATTTATTTATTTGATCGGGAACGATATCACACCAACCGAATAAAAATCCAATAAAAGCGCCAACTCGTCAGGTAATATTTTTTTTCTACGAAACTTGAAGATATTTTGCTTATTGTTTCAAAGTAACAGTAAAAGTAAAGCTATGTGAAGGAAGAAGAACGAGGCGAGAGAAGGATGTCACGGCAAATATTATATCGTAATACTTTCCAAGATATTTTAGAAAATTCGTTGCCCCATTTGTTATATTTCAATTCGACATCCGCTTTTTCCAATTCTTTTCTTCCTCCTCGTTTCTCTTCTATTTTGTCACGGCTGCTGAACTTTCGAGCACAATTGCTCATATGCTGAAATGCGAGATTATCACCAACAGTTTTTACCCCGATCCTTCAAAACCTTCTTGTCCTTGAATCCACCCGGATTTATCCGCCGACGATAACCAGAGCCTACGGTCGCGTCGCGGAGATGGTGCCAGATGAGGCTGCGTATGCCCGTGCCGGGTCATGCACTACTGCGGCTGAATTAAAGTCTAATGTAGCGAGGTGTCTGTACTCCCCGCGCGCGGCCGCCGTGCGGCTTTACACGCTATCGATTAGCCTTCGATTGTTTGGCCGTTACTTTCTATTTCCAGCAACGCGCCGTCGCCGGCCGTTCACCAGCGAATCTAATTACGATTTCTCCCCGCCGTGGAGATCGTTTTCGTGACGTTTCTCCGTGTTGTCGTTATCGTCGCCGCCGTAGTCGTTGTCGTTGTCTCCCCTCAAAATTATCTTATATTTTCAAAAAACGAACACGTCGATTTTCTTACGGACTTCCTTATGAATAGGCGAATCGGCGACGTCGCGGCTGTATCTTTGGTTCGCTCATTAAATCGCTGCTTTTAAGCAGCAAATCCTGTCTCTCGGGGGGATAGCTGCACATTTGTGTACACAAAGTTATGATTATTTTACCGTAATCGCATTTAACCGAGTTCGTAATCGCCTCCTTCATCCATCGCTAAGAGAGAGTGGATTTGTGATCCACAAACATCTCGGTCCTTTTTGGGTTAGATTACTTCGTATCGATCCTGCACGATATACGCATTTTAAAAATTTCAATTTTAATTAATCAGCGAAATATATATTGAGACTGAGGGTCTGATTTCTAAAATAAGCATCTTACGTTAGCGTGTCGAAATGTACATAATCTGAGCCAAACCGCGTTCCTCCTTTCACCCTCTTTCGTATCCATCGAATGCGTCCCAAATTCTACTTTCCAGATAATTATTTTTCGATAAAGAGTTAAATCGATAACGAATCGCGACACCGGTGATCGTCACGATCGGGTGATCGTTTTCGAACTTCTCTCTCTCTCTCTCCCTCTCTCTCTCTCTCCCTCTCTTTTCCCCCCTCTCCTCTCTCTTTATCTCTCTCGGCTTCGTAAAAATAGAATCAATAAAAGGAATCGACGTTACGTGGAAGTAGGTCTGCGCACTATCCCGCGAGTCAACTCGACAAGGTTCTCGACCTTTGCTATTAAGGGACGTACCTATTCGAGCGCCGATCCAAGCACCCTCCTTTATTTATCGCGCTCGATTCCGCGTTGTCTTCGTGGTCGCCAGATCGATGTTTCGACTGGCGGATTTTATTAACGAGCGCGAATCGATGCTAGGTCTGTATGCGTGCGCGCGCGCGCGCACGCATGTGTGTGTGTGTGTGTGTATACGTATGCGTGTTAAGCTCGCGCCCGGTGCACAGTGCGACATTTGTCCAATCTGCAAGCGGGGCATAAATATTGCATCCGCTCGCGCAAACCACGGCATAACGTTCGCTTCTATATATTAATATCACGACTATTATACGCTCGTTTATATAACATCGCGGTTTGCGATTATCTGTTTATTTACACATGTCCCTTGTTTCCGAGCTTGTGCAGAAGCTCGAGCGCAGGATTGATCGAGTTCTCGCGTTCTTTCGCTCAATGAACGCAATCGCTCCCGCGATTCAGCCGCTCTATTGTGCGAATTTGCAACATAAATTCACATTTCTCTTGCCAAATCCATTGTCATTTGGACGTGACATTTGTCCGGTACGCTACGGAACCGCGAGTCCTGCAATAAACCTATATAATAAAATGTAAAAATAAATTTATACGCTCCGCGTCAAACGGTTTCTCAAGCCACCGAGGGAAACATAGCGTTTAATCGTGCGTATCATCATCATTAAACGTGGAACGTTTTTCCTCCCTCGCATCGAGCGAGCTTCGCACGGTGCATCGAGCCGAGCATTGCCGACTGCTCGCGGGCGGCCGCGGTCCAATCCTACGCATTGCCGAGGTATCCCCGGCCATGTTAGGCGCATGCAAAAGCCCCGGCCGATACTATCTAACCCTGATCGGTCTTAACCCTGAAACTGGATTCTACCAGCCGCCACTACCACCCTCTCCCTCCCTGCCCGTGCACTCTCGAACACGCGCCGCTTTTTGTAATTTCTTTTTCGCACAGCTCGCGCAATTATGCGCCTTGCGGAGCGATACGTATGCGGGGCGCCTGTGGAATAAATATGGGTGGGAGTGTGTTCTTCCGTAGGTAGCCCAGTAGCGAATTCTTTCCCTCCTGGGCGGAAATTCACCTGTGAGATTAAAACCGAAGTAAATAGGAACCATAGCGTGTGCAGGGGCGTAGGTATTACATTTGTCTCGCTTTTCAATTATTTAACTAAACGCTCTGGAGTCTCCTCTCTTCTCCTCTTTCTCTCTCTCTCTCTCTCTCTCTCTCTCTCTCTCACTATAAAGTCACGTTATTGTCGTTACTTCGATGTAATCTAATTTCACTGTATCCTCCCTAAATTATGCACTGCAACATTCATGAGGATCGGAGTCGAGACTTTTTCTGCAAACTTCGATTGTGCGGAGAGGGAGACATATCGCGCGGCTCTCGAGGCGAGACACACTTCTCGTGGAAGTCCCGCACGTTCCTGCCGAAATCGACGATCGGCGTAAATTCTCATTGGGTCGAAGCATCCTTCCACGGACATTCCCAAGCTGGTTCCGGTGTTGAGCGATTGTTAAGCCGAACTGATCGTAATTCCGACATGGTCTCCCTCTCTCCCTCCCCCCTCTCTCTCTCTCTCTCTCTCTCTCTCTCTCTCTCTCTCTCTCTCTCTCTCTCTTTCTCTCTCGTTCTCCCTTTCGCTCTCGCTCTCGTTCTCTCTTTCTGTCTTGTTCGCTCCTCCGTCTCCTCTGTCTCAGTCTCTCCCTCTCCGTCTCACCATCGGCTCGCGACTCGATCCCTCTTTGTCTCGGCGGTAAATCGAGTCGCGGAGTCGAGTCGACTCGGTCGTGTGTTTCAGGCTGGCTGCCGGCTGCCGCCGCCGTGAATCAATACCCGCATTGCGCGTGCCACCTCTCTTTCTCTTTCCCTCGTCATCCTCTGCTCTCTGCCTCTCGCTCGCCCTCGGTCGTCTCTGTCGCGAGCCGAACTCTCTTGCTCACTCTCACACTCACCCTCTTTCACCCTGTCTCGCTCGTTTTCCTTCTTTGTTCTGCTTCTTTGCTTTCTCCCTTACGCTTCGTGACTTTCCCTCCTTTTCCATCTTCTTCTCCATCTTACCGTCTTCTTCTCTCCCCTTCGCTTTCTCCTCTCTTTTCTTGCTCCCCTTCATCGTACTCTCTATGTCCGTCCATCTTTGGCTAACCATCCCCCGCTGACTTCTCTGTTCCTGCAACCCCCTCCTCTCTCTCTCTCTCTCTCTCTCTCTCTCTCTCTCTCTCTCTCTCTCTCTCTCTCTCTCTCTCTCTCTCTCTCTCTCTCTCTCTCTTTCTCTCTCTCCCCTCTCTCTCTCTCTCTCTCTCTCTCTCTCTTTCTCTCTCTCTCTTTCTCTCTCTCTCTCTCTCTCTCTCTCTGTTCTCTTCCACGTGGCACTCGGTAATCCTGTCGTTCTGCTTCTCTTCTATCCTTGTTCCTCGCCGATCCCAACGATCTCGCATCTCTCGTCGTCAGTCTTTTTCGTCCGAGTCAGGAGGGCGAGGATCGTAGAAAAGAGGAGGGAGTGGACTGGAGACAGGCGAACGGAGAAAGTGATGAGCGTGGGACGTGTACGGGGACATCGAGCGGGTGGGCGCAGCGGGTGGAAAGCTCGCCGAGTTCTCGCCGAGGGTTGTACAACCCCGGTGCGCGTGGAAAAACATGTATACACGAAAAACTACCCACGCTGTCGCCGTCTCCGTCGCCATCGTCGTCAACGGCGCCTCTCTCTCCACCTC